TGAAGGGGTTTCAATGCATTCCTATGGGCTTTTTAATATCGCATAGCGACGAAATCGCTTTGCAGCGATTTTTGCTGCACGGATTATCATTGCTATGCGAGGCACCACTGTATATGGACATGTTTCTCTGAAATTCTGCTTAAGGAATACTGATGAATAGGCATGGAATATTTGGAATTTGTGGGCTACAGATCCCAGAAGTCTGCAGGAATTATCCTCAGATTACTGGGATTTTTAATCAAGCCATCAACATCCTGACAGGTGTTTTCGTGCTCTTACAGCTAATGAACTCTGGTTACGGCAGCCATTTTCATCCTGTGGAGAAAACAAGGTACCCTATTTTCCATATATAAGATGTACCCATGTATAAGATGCCCCCTTTTCTAAATCAAAATTAAGAAATCAATATTTAAAACATAAAACAGAATACATTTTATTTAGTAATTAGGTAACATTTACATACCGGTACTGTCATATTATTCATCACACTTAGCTTTGAGCATATCACTTAATTCAGCCTCTGGGCTCAGAATGCTTGGACATTACCAGTCCCTGTTGCATCTGAGCACTGTCTACATGCTCCACCTCCAATGAGGTGTTTTCCAATTGGTTTATTCAGCATCAGCTGACATCAGTTACATAAGACTTGTGATTGGAGGAAGCTAAGCCTCGTGATTGGAGGAAGCCTGTTTGCAGAGGCAAGGTATAGACAGTCTTGCAATTACACAGTTCTCTCCTTGGCTTACTTCCGTGTAAAAGTTGACCCTCAATTTTTAGTCTAAAGATTTTAGACAAAAATATCATCTTATACACAGAAAAAAATATGGTAAATGGGAAGGCAGGGCTCAACTCAAAGGAATCTGCAAGGGATGTGGGTCTGATGGTTGTTTGAAAAGCATGCTGTGCTGAGCCATAATCCTTTGCAACTCCCACAGAACTTAGCCCTGCCCATCCATTTCCCCTGTCTTCCCCATAGAATGAAAATGGCTGCCTGAGTCTAAATTCATCAGCAGTAAGAACATGAAAACACCTGTCAGGACTTCTGAATACTTAATTAAAGTCCCCAGAAGTCTTGCTGGGGAAATACTTTCAGACTTCAGAGGGCTGGAGTCCACAAACTCCAAAAATCCCACATCTACTGTACCAGTTTGTTTTCACCAGATGTGCATTTTTCATCATTAAATCTTATTCAGGATTTTATTATGATGTACCCCACCATCTCACACATTATTTTAACATTTAAAATCTGTAATGTGCAGATTTCAAGACTTATCCAAGAAAAAACTCAAGTGATACAGCTTCTACATTTTTTAAAGAATATTTGATATTTTTTTTTACTTTATAGATACTAAACAAAACAACTGTTAGAAAAGCACAAAGAGTGAGATCCCGTTGTTATTCCCGACCAGTGTAGATCCAAGAAAACAATGTAACTTACATAAGAGTTGACTTAAGAAGTCCCACTCATTCACTGGGTCTACTCTAGTAGGGAATAGCAATTGGATTTGGTATAACAAATTGTTTTGCTCCATAGTGTGAAAAATCATAGTTCTCCCCCAGCACAACCTTTTGTTAAATGTCTCTCTCTAGCTGGGCTAAACTGAGCACTCACATTTCAAACCAAATACATTAATTAGCTTATAAATCCTCTTGGATCATTATAACAATCATATCCAAAATTCAGCTGCATGAAGAATACACCAGCTAAGCCAGCAAATATTATTCATGTGATAATCACTGCACATTACAGACATCACTGTAGCTTTGGTTCATTGAACAGCTAGCAGCGTAAACTTAATTTTTACACAATGCTGTGTTAATTGTAAGGCACACTTACTGTTATTTCCTATGACCTAAAAAAAAGTACAATGATTTTTTTCTACCGCTAGATGAATAACTCTCTTGTTTTAAACAATTGGACTTACTAAGGTTTTATGAATGTAAAATATTTGAATGGAGACGAATTCATGGCATTTGAACAGGATGCAAGAAAAGACTTTCGTTGGGCTCTGCAAGGAGAGTTAGGAAGATATCCTAGTTTACATGAAACATCATAGCTGAAAAGAGAGACTTAGGAATAGAGCCTTGATCAAACTAAAAGAATTTCTCTCAGGGTTGACAACACCCTCACTAGGAGTGTCCAGAAGGTAGACTGTAGATCATCCAGTTTCTGGTGTATTGCTCAGTGCATGCTGGGATTCCAAAACAAGAAGTTTGTTCCTAGCACTGCCACATAAGCACTGGGAAACACTGTTCATGTCACTTCCTCTATTTACTGGAGAAGGTCAGGTAGTTAGCTAGGTGTTTAGAACTGTATGCAAGTAGCACTGCATTGACTATTGTCATGTTCATTCTATTGGCAAGAAACAGAGGCTGGAGGCTTCCATTCTATATTAAGCAAGGGAAATGTGATTAGGGGAAAATAAGTCTACCTTACCAACCTCCTCCCTCATATTATGCAGCTTCTCAACTACATCACCAAAAACATGGATTGAGGACTGAACTTCTGCTTCAGGTAAGCTGGCACATATGGACATCCACCCATTCTGGAACCCTGATTATGCAGGGTCTATGTATATAAGGTTCCCAACTGCAAATATCTATAAGTTGGAGGCACACTAGTCACACAATCCTGGGATTAGGGCCAGAAACAGAGTCAGCCCCCTCCCCCATTATGTGAAATGTGGGCCTCTGCAGCTAACTGAAAGTGTTTGGGAAAATAACAAGTAGCCCCTTCGAAATAAAAGAGTAGAACAGTTCAAGGAATTAATGGGACTTCCATACTCAGAGGAGTACAATTTTAATTACAGACACAAAATTACTACTAAATTAAATCCAGTAGCAGCAGGCCTCATCATTATGCCGTCTCTGTAAATCTTTCAAAAGACATTTGTCTGTCCACTGTGGAAAACAAAATGCTGGACTAGACAGACCTCCATCTAATCCAATGGGGCAATTATTATGCTCTAACAAGAGCACATAATTAGACTTAACAAGAAAGAGACCTGCAACATCTTAAAAACCGACAAATTTAATATACCATGAGCTTTCAGGATCTATAGACCACACCACATATCTGATGATGTGGAGCATGAAACATTTCAAACTATAAAACTCATTAGCTTTTATGGGTACCACAGCTTTAACTGGTGAAGTCCCATTCAGTGCTTCTCTAGCCCTTCCTTGCCCTGTCACCCCACACATGCTCTTCAAGGTAGTACTTAGCTGTTTCAAAATGTGAAGTGAAATTTAAAGAGACCCGGATGACTTATGTAACCAAACCTGGTTTGAGCTCTAGACCCCTACTTCTAATTTTCCATGCACCCCAACACTTGGAACTATGCACTCTCCAGTGCAGTGCCCAACACAAAACCAAAAGGCTGCAGCCGCAAGCAAAACAGACAGCAAAGTCCAATACAAAAGTAGAAGTCTTTTAGGTGCATCTACACAGAATGTTTCAGATTCTAGCTGTAATCACATCACAGACTTGAGGCATTTGTAGCATGAAATGAAGTAACATATAAAACTCAGTATCTGAAACTCATCTGATCAATTGAAATTCATTTTTTTACCACTAGAAAGCTAAAAAAAGTAATCACTATAGGTGTTTTCATCACTACTGAATACCACACAAAAGAGGATGTATTTACTATCTGGTCCACTACTATTATAATAAACAGAATAATACATTTCCACGATGAAAGCTTTTTTTAAAAAAAGGAAGAAAAGGATTTTTTCAATTAGTAAACAGAATGTTACTACAATGTCCAAGTCAGCTCACCAAGCTCATTGAGGCTCTGAGCAGCTTTTGTTATCTCTCTGCTTCCTCCCTGCAGCTGCCCTTGAAGTCTCTTGCTGAGATACAGGATGCGTATTATTCTCCGCAGCAAGTCACAGGCAGCCTGGGTAGGAAATACAGCTTCAGAATATATTCAATATGTTACATTATTCTACAGTGTTAAGTACCAGCTGTGGAAACACTGCATACATTTACTGGGCTTGATCATATTACAGTTCAGTTCATGGTTTGATATTATCTGGAACACACAGTCAGAAAAACACATCACAGAAGGTTGTAACTACAAGCTACCCTGCAGGGATGGAAAGGCATTTAGTCAAACATACACAATGAGAGAGTGCTATAGAATAAAAGATGCAGTGCTGCTCAGTTTAAGCCACTTGAAATACTGCTCTAAACTTCAACAGGAACATGACTGGGCCCCAAAGTTACAATCTTTTTCTGAACTACAGTGGTCCATCTCTGCTTTAAGACCGCACACACACAAAAACTGAACCACCAAAAGGGTAGGACTGATTCTCCAGGCTGAATTTTACTAATCTACACAGGATATACAGATTCACTTTCGACTCCTTGGTCTAGATCAGGATGAGAAAATGTGGCCTCTGAAAACCAGTTTTTGTTCCCCTTTGGCTAGCTGAAAGTCCTAGGCTGAAAAAAGGGAGAGGAGGTATTTTTGCTTTAGGAAGGTTAGGAGGGTTCCCCAAGCACCCTCAAATTCCTCAACTATCTCCTGTTAGAAGTAGCTATCTTGGTCATTCTGTGTCTTCCCCCCCAAACTAATTTTTGCCAATACAGTGGTGCCCCGCATAGCAACGTTAATTCGTTCCGGATAAATCGTCGCTATCCGGAAATGTCGCTATACGGGGGGGAACCCCATAGGATCGCATTGAAACCCCTTCAATGCGTTCCTATGGGGGATAACCACTGGGGATAAACTCACCACTAAGTAGAAATCCTCCATACAGCCGCCATTTTCGCCACCTCGGTAAGCGAGGAAACTGCGCGAAAACGCTGCGGGTGGCCATTTTTTCTTCTGGTGGCCATTTTGGAACCGCCAATCAGCTGTTTTTAAACATCGTAATGCGAAACGCTTACCGATCACCACAATGTGATGTTTACCCATTAAAAACATCGCAATGCAAAATCCGCATCGTTAAACTGGGCGCTCGTTATGCGAGGCACCACTGTATAACTCATGGTGGTTGTTGGGATTCCAGCCTTGTCAAAAATACCTACACTTAGGTTAAATTAATGGGCGCTCATTATGCGAGGCCCGACTGCATGTTATAACTCATGGTGGTTGTTGGGATTCCAGCCTTGTCAAAAAAACCTACACTTAAGTTAAATTCATAAACACATCCATATAAACATAAAATAGATAGCAATCAGACTCATAATTTTTAAATTTAGAATCATACAGGTTTAAAATTTATCTGAAGCAAACCATATTAATTTCATTGCAGATAGCTGCTTCAGTATTTATGTGAGCTAAAAGGGCCAATAGGTCTGTTCCAGAGATGACTGTAATTGGGAGCAGCTCATAATGTATACTTTCAAATATATTTAAAGATGAATCTGTAACTAGAGCCACAACATGTCTCTAAATAAAGCTACGTTTCTGCTACAAGTTGATCCACTTTCAGCACAGAGTATCAGGCAATAAAAAGATTTCGTTCAGAATACAGAATTAAAGAATAGTAGCAGTCCTAGCACCAAACATAATGATCCTAACATATCAGTGGCCAAAAATCCTGTTGAACAGTTGTGATGATGCCATTAACCACTGCTGTGCTGCAGCAGGTTTTTTTTTTGGGGGGGGAATTAAAAGTTTCCTATTTTCCCCCTCCAGTTCCTGGGATCTCTAGGGAACCTCCTTGTCCTGAGAAGCCTTTGGGAGCCAGGTGATGCCTGGAAATTGCTGCCAGTAGTCCTGGTTCCACTTGCACAACAGGACTCTGGCCAATGAATTCAAATTCAAATTCAAATTTCAAATCAATTTATTGCAACAGGACTCTGGCCAATGAGTTCAAATTCAATTTCAAATCAATTTATTGTCATTGTAAGTATATACAAGGTATATCCAAACAACAAAATTCACACAGACACCCAGACACCAGACCCACATGCACAGACATAAAAAATTCCCAAACACTCCCCACCCACTAAAATCCCCCACTAAGAATACAAACATCTACACTGCAGGCCAAGTAACACTGTCAAACTATTCACTATTCAATGAGTGAACTTTTACTAAATTAAAAATCTGGTAAAATTGGAGATGAAAACTGAAGCCAGGATTATTTTGTGTACCCATGCTCCTCAGTCTGGATCCCTTTAACTGTTTTGTTCTGGCCCAGTTCAGCATAGGTAATTATTAAAGATAAGAATTACAGCAAAGAACATCTCAGGTGGCTTAAAATATGTAAAGACAGCTGAGATATGTGCTTCATGTAAAGTTGCCTAGTGACAAACTCTCCAATTTCATAACTATTTTCTATATTATATAATATGCACATCAGACATTTTGCCTCTCAATAATATTATATAACAGAAAATGGGTGCAAATGTTTTAAATTATGGCCTTATACTGTGGCAGGCATGGTCAAGAGGGCCTACAGTGACTTTTTTTTTCAAAAGGGCTAAAAAAAAAAGCACAGCAAAGATTCCATTGGCTGGATTCAGGACGAGGCACAAGCAACTTGGCTGCTGAAAACAAGACTTCCTACTGTCATTGCCTCATGATAGAAGTTCTGGATCCCTCAAAGTGTTACAAAGAGAGCTGGGAGACCCCACTGAATGGGTCTAGGGGAAGGAAAAGATGGGGAGATCCCAGAAAGCCACATCCAGCACACATCCAAACCTGGATTCAACTCTCAGAAGATAATTGAAAAGTTTTCTTTCTTTTTCTCCACTCCACAATATGTACAGAAAAGCACTGACAGAACTATGTCCACAAGCTGCAGTATAACAGTGTTTGGACAAAAGCCTATGAAACTGCAGAAGTTTGAACACAAGTCTGAAATAAGCCGTGATTCTTCCCTCTCTTTCTCTCTTTTTAAACATGCCTCAGATGTTATCACTGATTTGATAATAAGCACTCACCTTTTGCCAAAGGAAAAAGTTTGAAAGGAATGTTTACAATTCTGAATCCTCTTTCATATTTCAAAGTCCACGGCAAGCAAACTGCATCTTTGAGGTATTGCAGCCAGTGGAGATGAGAAAGAAAGAGGCATTCAATTTTAGGCTTAAGATGCTACCAGGAGTCCCAGGAGAAAGTAACCCCACAAAAATTCTCATACTTAAAATAAAAAATCATAAAGAGGGGAGAATGCTATGTGGAATACAGAGGTCCATTTTACAAATCTGTATTGAGATATCTCTTTCTGCTTATATTTACATTTCCTCTTTTCCAAGAGTTTAAGTGCTCAGTATACATATTCAGCGGTTTCAATTATTTATTCTAGCAGTGTTTCCCATTCCAACCAGTAACCATAGCAACACTATATCTAGCCAGAAGAAAGACTACACAGTTATCTGTGGCCACCATTAATTCCTGTTCATCTATCAGCTTAAAAATGGAAAGTGCAAAGAAATGCACTCCAAAATCTTTTTCAAAAGCAGGTCTTCTCCTTCCATAACGATTATATTCCTTTCTACAAAATGAAAATCTTCTCCCCTCAACTTAAAAAAAATTAAAACATTTCAGGAGACAAACAGCTCTTTGAAATATTAATGTGCCATCAAAAGGTATTTCTGGAAAATAAAACATAACTTACCTGAAGCCTTGCTAACTGTGCCGTGCGAGACACTATTTTGTTGTATGGGTCAACAATTTTGGCTCTGATTCTAATGAAAAAGAAAAAGGAATACATTTTAGAAATTATGACAGTACAGAAATATTAAAACTTCTAACACCATTATTAAACTGCCATACCTGTCAACAGTACTTTGCAGGGCACTAATTCTGGTCTGCATCATTTGAAGAACACCTGAGTAAGAGATTGTTAAACAGAGCAAAATCAGTATTTCCAAAGCAGAAATCTGACATAAAAGATGCTTCCATTGCCAGTTGAAATAAACATGATGGAAATAAATTCAAAATATTTTAGTCTTTGCTGGACAGTTCAGTGGTTTAGATATCTGGCTGTGGAGCCAGAACTTGGGAGCTTGATTCCCCCACTGTACCTCCTTAAAAAGGGCTGGACTTCATGATCCACAGGGTCCCCTCCAGCTCTGCAATTCTATTATTGTTAATAATAATTCCTACAAAGTGTGCTGTATTGTGACTACTTTTATAGCCTCATCTTCTATTTGGTTACTCAAGGGCAAGCCACATTCTTTTCAGTGGGACTTATTGCCCAACTACATGCTGCTGGTACTCCATGGTTAGAAAAGAGAATTCCTTTAGCACTGAAAATATGCAATTGTCACAAAAGGAGCTTTTCATACCTATCATTGTTCACCGATTAGCTTGTTTTGTTCTGTGATTGCTGTTTGGAGGTAAACAGGGGTGTGATGCTCACCCAGCTTTCTCTGTTCAGTATGTGCTGCCATAAAAGTAACAACCACCCACAACCTCTGGGCTATGCTTACAGTTACTGTTCAACTTCTAAATAGGCAAATCTTCTGGATCTTCCATCCCTTCTACTAAGCCAGACAGATAGTCAGTGGTGCATTTTTTTACTGCTGTTTTAATACTGCCACAGCTAGCAGCTAACCCTAAACTACCCTTTTAAAAAAGAACAGGAACAGTTCTGGAGAAATGCACACCTTTGTTATATCAGTGACACTGCACAGGCTATGTGTCCCAGCACTCGCCAGCAGTATGTGTTTATAATACCCTGTGATGGTTACTGCTGAAAATAATGAATAAGAGGGGTGGTAAACCAAAAAGAAGCTTACTTTTTTTAAAAAAAATAAAGGAGTAAGAAGACCCAATACTACAAGCTATCTAATTCTTATACACCTAAAATCTCTTTTACTTTACTTGGTCTTTAAAGGGTAAACATATTCAGTTCTTTATATATAGATGGCTGCTTGTTTTTACATAAGTGCCAATGAGAACACACTATTTTTCACAAATACTTAACAAAAATAGACACTTCAGTTTTTCTAGCAGCTTGTCCCTTAAGTACTGTACCTCACAGCTCAACACACTTTCCCTCACTCTTTCACAGACTCTGACTTCTTTGTAACTTTGTCACGCCTGAACTCTCATCTGACTACCTCACAGTTCTGACTCACCTAAATAATAGCCTTCTTTCTCACACCCACACCCCTCTTATACCAAACAGCCAATCTCCAGCCAGGAATCAATGAACCAATCAGCTCATACTTATACTCAGAGACATTTTATCATACCTCTTAACATTTTTTGCTTGAATGTCCTGGCAGACATCCAACCTACAACTGTCAATCAAACCCCATTCACCATGCAGATCAGTGCAAACCTACATAGAAGCACATATACAGTGTGGAATTGCCACAAGCAATTAGTACAACTGATTGGTCACAAAGGTCTTCCTAAATCTCTGGCATTTCCAGCTTCTAATAAATAAACAATGCTAGACTAGCTGTAATGTGACATTTGACCTTTCATTTTATGAAGTACTTTTAACATTTCAGCATTACAGAATAATCCAATATATATTGACTGAAAAGTAAGACCTATTGGCTGGGATCCTACTGCAGAAAAGCAGAATGAAAAGCACCATGCACACAGTAAAGCAGGATAGTCTTACTTGTTGTTGTGACTTTTGAAGCAGTGTGACTTCTACTTGTACAACACTGTCCTGGATATCTCAGTGAGTGAGTGGCAAGCATGTCAAACCATCCACATGGTCATAATTGTGCCACCTTAATTCTGACAATCCAGCAGAATCCTGGGCAATGAATTACATCACTATAACTTCACAGTAAGCATTTAAAGCAGTGGTTCCCACCTTAGGTCTCCAGATGTCCTTGGACTACAATGCCCAGAAATCCTGGCCAGCACAGATAATGGTGACAGCTTCTCGGAACTTTAGTCTAAGAACATCTGAGGACTCCAAATTGAGAATCATTGATTAGAAGATTGAAAGCTAAATTAGACAACTAACATTATGAAGGTCAGATGCAGAAATGGTGACTTCACCAACACCACCTAGTGATCTTAACTCTTGAGGTGGAGTGGATCCTGGTCTCACAATCCCAAATTTTACATACCACATCAACCTAGTGTCTGCTTTATTACAATGAAATCTGAATCCAGTATTACATGGCATTTACAAGAATGCATTATCTCCTAGAGTGTTGATCAAGGGTATTATCCAATAGTAACTACTAAAATACAGTAACTCATTCAAGACACAGAGGGAATACTGATTTCCCTTCTGTCATGACCCACTATCCAAATTCAGCAAGTGACACCACAAAATGACTCTTTACTACAAAAAAAATCCAGTATTCTTAATACAACATATTGAAATGTATGGTTTTATAATTTTTATACTCCAAACCTAAATATGTTTGCTAGGATGGAAATCCTGCTGAGTTCAGTGTTGATACTGTTTGATGCAAATAACATTTCCTCTTGATAAGATGTAGCAATCCAACTTGGATCATTTTAAAGGAATTACAGAAATGCCTAGAGGAAAAGGCTACCAATAGTGACTAGTTATGATGGCTATATATAATCTCTAACATCAGAGGCACTATTCCTTTCAGTGCCTGCCAGAAACAGGGAGCTGATGTTGTACCTGTGTTCTGCTTGTGGAGTTCCCACAGGTATCTGGCTAGCCACGGTGAAAAACAGGACTAGACAGATTAAGCATATCTGAGATGTTGCACACGTCTTTGATCTGACCCAAGGAGGCATTTCTAATGTTCTTCAATGAGATAAGGTTCAAGATAATTAGTCCTTGCCTATTTTCTGTACATATTTATTTATTTGTTTATTTAACTTATATGCTGACCACACTACCCAAAGGTCTCTGGACGGCTTACAACAATTAAAATACAATAAAAAGATAAAACAATTAAAATACAATTAAAATATATAGTCTAAAATTGCCATCAGGACCCACAGTTGATATTATTTCAATTAAAAGCCTTCTGGAACAGGAGATTTTTGACCTGGTGCCGAAATGTCATCAGCATCGGCGCCAGACGAATCTCCCTCGGGAGGGCATTACATAGTCTGGGGGCAGCTGCCGAAAAGGCCCCTTGTTTACAAGCCATCCCATCCTTGAGGGACACCTCTTTCAAAAGGGCCCCCTGGCTAGATCGTAACTGCCGGGTAGGCTCATATGGAAGGAGGCAGTCCTTCAGGTATCCAGGGCCCAAGCCGTTTAGGTCTTTATATGTCAAAACAAGCACTTAGAATTGGCCCGGGCGTTGTATGGAATAAGATGTGGCACAAGCCCAAAGCCTTCTCAAGGATATTGGCAAATGTATGGAGGACAGGTTTTTTTTCCCCAGTGGCTATTAGGCATGACACCGTTTGGAACCTCCACATTTAGAGGCAGAATGCCTATGAATATTAATAGGCATTCTCAGTTAGGGGGAAACAACAGCAGGAGAACAGGAAGAACAACCTTCAGAACACGGCCAAAGAGCCCGAAAAACCCAGAACAACCAACAGCAGGAGAGTTACTGCTGCCATTATTTGTGCGTAGGCTTTGAAGTGGTATCTACTTGGTCATTGTGGAACACAGGATGCTGGGATAAATAGGCAATTCACACCAGTATTGCCCAACTGTAGTCAGTACAATGAAAAATGAAGCAAGTAGGAAGTTTCTCATTTAACACACATTTGAGTTGCTGAATTAGCTACAGATACATCCTCAATGAGTTTCCAGGGCTGAGTGGGGATTCAAAGTCAGGTCTCCCAAGTGCTAGTCTGTCACTCTACCCCCTACTGCAGCCATTTTCATTGGGGACCATATGAACCCCTGCCCCCCCCCGGCATATTTGAAGGAAGCCACAGACTGGAAACAACTCTTCACACACTGCCTTATAAGGTCCGTTATGTGATCTATACAACCCTGATTCGGCCTATACTTCTTTCATATTGTGTTTATGGCTGTGGTCAGAAAAAGGTTGAGAATGTCTGTGCCATCACCACACTGGGTATCTTACTAAAACATACAATAGAACTGGGCAACATCCCAGGTACAGCTAATTACAGCAACATATAGGAATACTTAGGATACAAAAAACCTAATTCAATACATGTATGGTAAGTATGCAAATAGGCTAATAAAACAGCAGACAGATCTTTCTGATTTGGAAGGATGGAAGCATTTCCTACCGGACCAAACCGACCTGCCTTTCCAAGAATTCCCCAGCCTATTCCTGTGGACAATTTTTGTGCAACCACCAAGAGATTAGTATTAGTACTCATAGGCTTGAGAAGGAATTACTGGAGGAAAAAAGGAATCTTTTTTTATGCAAAGAAGGTTGCTGCTGCCATCTTCACCCTCCCATTCTGCAATACGTGGACTCCTGACTTTAGCAGGATTTATATGCACATGTGCACAGAGACCTAAAGTCTTAGGCAACAATGTGTGGTCTGCTCTTTTAAATCCCACTGACTTTGATAAATGAGTAAATGGCATTAGCTACACTACAGATATTTGGCTCATGAGGAGTTTATTTTTCAAGATTATCTTCCTAACAATTAACCACAAGCTATTGTGGTTAGGAGAAAATGTTCTTTAATAACAAAAAAGATCTTAAATCCTAATTGACATGAAAAAATATCTGCGTAAAGCAAAGCAACACTGATGTAGCTCTGAGGTTACACTATCAAAAGAGGAATTTTCTCCCAAGCAGACCATATTAACTACATTTCAGCATATTTAATGCAAGGCTGATCTTTTATCACCAAAGTAAACAGCACCTCTCAGATTTTTATATTATCAGTTAAAATCCATGTACCAAATCATATGTCTGTAGGAGTCCAGTTCTATATATGGACCTAAGTAGGCTTAGCATCCAAGGGTGACGT